TCTCTCTCTCTCTCTCTCTCTCTCTCTCTCTCTCTCTCTCTCTCTCTCTCTCTCTCTCTCTCTCTCTGTGTCGCTTCCAGTTTCTATCGAGTGATTTCCAAGGGGTTAGCTGCCCCCTAGATTTTATAGCAAAATAAAAAACAGCTTAAATAATAATTGTACTTCGTAATTCGAAAATAAATGCAATAAATAATGGACGAAATTACAATTTACAAAAACAATTACAACTCAGAAAAAAACACAATTATCCCTTCAGCCTAGCCCTCGCCTAGACATGATTTATTTCTTGAACATTTGCACACACCCCGCAGGGAGGATAAGCGAACTCTGCTATTAAAATGTCTATATTCGGCGAGACACTTACTCATTGCATTCAGGGAGGCGTCGTAGAATGCATTCGCAATGGCCGGCGTTTCGCCCCAGCTATATAAGAACAAACACGAAATAAATATTTGATATCGACACGTTGTCCTTTTCCATATTATTTCAGCATGGGCTAGGCTACTTTTTTATAATATATAGTACGATGAACTATGAAATCCATCACTGTAATTACATCAAAGCACAAAGGCCAACTGTCTGCTTATTTAATATCATTAGTATTGCCTGAGATTCCTCGGCAATTCTTTTGCGGACAATCTGCTACCGCTGTAAATCTCGTCTAACTAATTATTACAAGCTTGGTTCATACGGCAACGGTTAATTAATAGCACGGAAATTGCGAGACGGAAGGTTATCGACGTCGCTGTGTTGTCGGCGCTGTAGACGATCGAAGCGACGGTCAATACGCACGAGCCGACCGCCGACACACATACACACGAGCCGACCGCCGACACACATACACACGAGCCGACCGCCGACACACATACACACGAACCTTGCGCCGACACACATACACACGAGCCGACCGCCGACTGTGTGTCGGCGCGAGGTTCGTGTGTATGTGTTTACACACGAACCTCGCGAGGCCGACACACATACACACGAACCTTCGTGGGCCGGACACACATACACACGAACCTCGCGGCCGACACACATTACACCAGAGCCCTAGCGCCGACACACATCACACGAACCTCGCGCGCGAAACACAGTACACACCGAACCTATGCGCCTGACACCACATACACACAACCTAGCGCCGACACCACATACACCAGCCGACCGCCACGACACAACATACACACGAAGCCTCGCGCCGATCACAGTACACAACGAACTCGCGCCGACAGCCACATACACACGAACCTAGCGCCGACACAACATACACACGAACTAGCGCCGCGACACACAATACACACGAGCCGACCGCCGACACACATACACACATACACACCGGACCTCGCGCCGACACACATACACACGAACCGTCGCGCCGACCATCACATACACACCGAAACCTAGCGCCGACACACATACACACGAACCTCGCGCCGACACCATACACACAACCTCGCGCCGACACACATACACACGAGCCGACCCCGACACACATACAGCACGATACATCACGAAGAACCTCGCGCCGACCACAAGTCATACACACGAAACCTCTCGCCGACACACCTACACACGAACCTCGCGCCGGACATCACATACACACGAACCTCGCCGCCGACACGACATACACACGAACCTAGCGCGACACACAACACACGAACCGTCAGCGCCGGACACACATACACACGAACCTAGGCGCCGACACGACATACACACGGAGCCGCGAACCGCCGACACACATACACAACGAACCTCGCGCGACGACATCACACAACACGAACCTCGCGCCGACACAACATAACACATCGAACCTACGTCCGACACACATACACACGAACCTACGCCGACAACAGCATACCACGACCCACCGCGACACACCATACACACGAACCTCGCGCCAACACATATACACACGAACCTCGCGCCGAACACATACACACGAACCTCGCGCCGACACCCATACACACGAACCTAGCGCCGCACACATACATCAACGAACCAGCGCCGACACAACATACACACGAGCCGACCGGCCCGACAACGACATACACACGGCGCAACCTCGCGCCGACACACATACAACGAACCTCGCGTCCGACACACGACACACGAAACCTGCGCCGACACACATTACATCACGAACCCTAGGCGCCGACAACACATACACACGAACGCTAAGCGCCGACACACATACACACGAGCCGATCGCGCACCGACAACACATACACACG